TTAAATTAATTTCAGCTAAAATATCTGTTTTTTATCGCCTATATACCTTTCGAAAGGTAGCCATTATAGGGGATTATTTTTTCCAATTATAACCGTCTTTTGGGGATTATCGTATTAAAGCGTTAGAATAGTAATTGGGGACGGTTTAGAAGTATGAATTATTAAACACTAAATTGAATGGGACGAAACCAAAAAAGATTATTTGATTATTATATTTAAGAAAACTTGAGCGTGTATTAAACTATTAATTCTTTTACTTTTGTTTTCCTTTATCTCATAAAAAAGAAGATTAAATTCACTTTCTGTAACCGCTTCATTCTAAATATTCTCTTATTTATGATTTTTAACCTTGATTGTTGTACTTTTTTAGTGCCTGCAATCTACATACTTCACTGTTTACAATTAAAATGTCGCACGGCACTGTAAATATTTAAATTATTCTCAGTAATGCAACGCGGCTTCGAGATAACGAATATTTTTATATGGATAGTTAGTTGGTGGTTATGAGTTAAATTCGTACATTGTTACATATTATTATTGATTATCAAAAGTTAGAAATAAAGGTAAACTATAAAAAAAAGTATAAAGCTGATTACATTAACTCAATAATTTAGTATTTTTTTATATATTTGATTAATTTATATTTGAATTAAACTTTTTTTATTTTTTTTAACATATTCGGCGCCGAGCTTACTACCTAACTGGAATTTAAATTTTGCGCTGGGGATTCAAGTGGTAGCTCTGCTGTAAAAAATGTGAAGATGCCGCATTTATTTATTTATTTCCTGACTGTCGTTCGTTTTGACACTTTAGTTTTGTATTAGGAGTTTTTGTTTTAAATAAATAGTGCTGCTATACTTTAAGCTATACTAGTAAAAATGTTTACTAGCAGACCTTGCAGTCGAACATTGTTCTTTTTAGAACCTCTTTTAGTGCGAAGTGTACAAGATAGCTTAATAGCCGTAAAAAAACTCATCGCGACTTTATTAGAATATTTTGAACGGAAAATCGGTAGTAATGGCCCTTTATGTCCCTTAAGTGCTGTTAAGAAGGTTCTTGATGAAAATAATAACTGTTTATACAGGGTGCGTCTTAAATAAGTGCAAATATTTTTAGGGGTGGTATACTATTTCGACCCCAGCAACACATCTATGAGGTTTTTTTCGCCAAAAAATTGTTTGATTTTCGTTGAAAATCGTGCATTTCCTTTTAAATTTCCCTGTATATTTTTTGAAAACTTTTTAGAACTGCCTGCTAATCGCAAATTTTCCCACGGTATAATTTCTTAATCTCTAATATTACCATAGTTACGACTTTACTCTATGGTTACGGCACTGAAAGAGATCCAAATACAGAAAAAATCCGGTGGCTCTCAAAATTTTTTCAAAAAAAATCAACTTAAATAACTGGGCTATTTTGGACTTATCTGAAAATGGTAAAGAGAAAATATGTTTCTCTTATCGAGATTTACCAGCCCTGAAAATATTTGCACTTATTTACGAGTCACCCTGTATATTTATAATTCATTTATTTTTGTTTCCTAAAATATTTTGATTAAAAGAAAATGTATAAAAGCGGGCAACGCTGCGCCGGTCAAGCTTAATCACGTGACTAAAAGTTCATTTGGTATGAACTGTATGTATTCATGGCTTAGAAAATCATGTAGAAATTGCGTTAAAGGAAGTTAAGATTAATTCAAGAAAAAAAAAACATTTATGCATTGACCTAAAATATGATGATTCTCTTGGCTAATATCAGTAGCGGCTCGTGAGTTTTGAAGGAGGGTGGGTACAGCCTCTACAAGAAAAAAAAGTATATATCCTTCTAGTATTCATGCTAGAAATGACATTATTATTTGATCACATAAAGTGTAACGTAAATATATAAATAATTTATTTATAGCGTATATCTATTTTTTTGGTATGACACACAACATTGATGAAAGCTATAATGTTAGCCGAAACGTTCGTAGTCCTATCTAAAAAATAAAAAACACAACAAATTATATAAACGTTTTTTTATTTAATATCAACTAAATGAACAATACCGTAGAAAACTAATTGAAAACAAAAAAAATTAAAATAACTATGAAACATCATTCGGTCAAGAAAAAAGGTTTTGGACATCTGGAACTCCCTAAATCCCTTCAAATTTACTTTTTCCTTGTCAAACTCTTGTAGAAATTTCATACAAAATGTTCGAAAATTAGTATATTCATTTATTTAGTAAACTAAATTAATAATAAAAATAATGAACTTAGCATTGATAACACAATATGATGAACATTTTGTACCTGTAGATAGTAAGTAGATAATAATATATTAGGATTACATATAAATATTTCTTTTCGATTTTTAATAATAATAATGTACTAGGTGTCCCAGTACTCCTGTTCAAAGGGAGGTAAAAAAATATTTATGTAAAGAACTGAAAAAGAAATGTTTATATATTAGTATCTGCTGTTTATTTTTCAATTTAATAAATTTTAATACTAGAAATTTCATTAACTATAAATAAACAAGTATTATTTCGTCATGAACAGCAGGTAAACATGGCTCCTTTCAAAGGCACCAAGAAAATGGATTGTTTATCTTAAATTCACACCTAAAAGTGTCTGAATCCTTAACAGTTTGGTCTTACATCGATTGCCATCGGATGTTGACGTGTTTATGAGCTTCAACACCTTTTATTGCATCCAATAGAGAGCTACTAGCTATTAGACAACTACCGATAAAACAGACTTAGTTTGTTCTGTGTTATTTTATATCCTTAGTAATAAGCTCAGCAGAACCTGAAGATTATACATTTTAGTTTGTAGAGTTTATTTTATTGACTGAAACCTTAATAAAATTAAAGAAATCTCCGGGTTAATAAATAACGATAATAAGCTTAAATCTAATAAAGTTTGTTTTCTACAAAATGTTAGTATAATTTTTCACTGTCTAAAATGATTATTTAATGACACTGATGTTTAAAGTAATGTATTTTTAGTAGGATTTATGTTGAAAGTAACTTACTTTTACACACTTACTTTTACAAGTTGAAAATGAAAAGTTATATCTATTTAGCTAAGGCTTAAAAAAATAGCGTTTACGTTAAATTGAGGTAGGTAGTTCTCTAATAGCTCTAAAAATCCATTCCAGTCAACCTTTTCCTTACGGCGTTGAGAGGGGCCATAAAAAAGCTAAAATAAACAGTGTCTTTACGACAGATGGCGCTATACGTACAACACTCTTTATTTTAAAACAACACGCAATATGTGTTCTTGCTGTAGATAAGAGAGTTTAACACTTAAAAAATTAAACTACTATTTTTAGTCTTTACTAAACATTCTTTATTTCAAAAAAAAATATATATACAGGGTGCTCCGAACTGTTTTCCGGAAACTTCGGCAGCATATTCTGCAGATAAAAATAAGTAAAAAAGTTCGTATAAATGTAGGTACTAATATGCTTAGTTTCGGAGATACAGGGTGTAGAATTTTATTTTTTATTTCGATTTTTTTCAAATAATTTCTCAAGTAACGTCACTATTTGGATGAAAATTGGAGTATGGGAGTTCTTTAACATGAGAAATTTGTTTTTGATATCAGTATGACGCCTACTTGTAGAGGGCGCCATCTACGTATTTTTTAACTGGTTTTAAGAGTAATAATTTTTCGTTCGTACCTATATAAAACTACTGAGTAAAAATATACATTTACGACCTTTTTTTACGTAATAAAGGTCTCTTGGTAAAAATCGCTACAAGTAATGGTTCTTGAGATATTGGGAATCGAAATTATCAATACCTGTCATCATTGACATAAATTAAATATGTTGACTTTATTAGATTATGAAATCATAAATTTGAAATGTTTTTATGCCAAAAGTTCAACAGAAACTGTTTTATCACAATTTTCTCTAAGAAAAAATTACGATTGATTTAAAAAAAATATAAATTTTCCAAATTTATTATCTCAGTCAAATAATTGTGTTTATTTTTTTGTCAATAATGACATGTATTGACTCTTTCAATTCTAAATATCTTGAGAACGGTTGCTCGTAGCGATTTTTACGAAGGGGTATTTTTTACGTAAAAAGTCACGGAAATGTATATTTTTTCACTCGCTAGTTTTATACAGGTACGGACAAAAAGTTATTACTCTTCAAAACAGTGAAAACTCATGTAGATGGCGCCCCCTACAAACAGGAGTCATATTGACATCAAAATCGAATTTCTCATGTCAAAAAACTACCAGGCACCAATTTTCATCCAAATATTTACGTTACTTCAGAAATTATTTGGAAAAAATCGAAATAAAAATGAAACTTCTACACCCTGTATCTCCGAAACGAAGCATTTTAGAACATACATTTATACGAACTTTTTTACTTATTTTTATCTGCAGAATATGCTGCCGAAATTTCCGGAATTACAGTTCGGACCACCCTGTATATCTAATACAGTGTGATAAAAAGGAATTGACGATATTACTTATTATGTTCATCCCCGAAATTTTTGACAGTACAGATAATTCTTAAACACTGTCAAGAAATTTCAGCGATAGACATAGTCAAGCTCAAATTAAATTGTCACTTAACACCTACCTACTGTGAAGTCGTTTTTTATTTCATCACTCTGTATTTATTAGGTATTTAAATCATATCATTTTCAGAAAACTTTCTGAAAACTATTTACTTAAAAAAACATCCCTTTTAAATATTGTAACTTAAATTAATCTATTTACTTTTTTAGGCCTTTTATAAAACCAGTTAGTAGTTAGTTTTGAAAAACTCCCCGAAATTACTTTCAGTTATCAACTTAGTTCAGCCAATTAAAACAAACGGCACAGAGCATTTATTTTAATTATTCCTAGTTTCCTGCTATGCTTTAACTCTGTAGCGCACATCAATTAAAACTATTTTTAACTTTTTTAATATTTTTGTAACTCCAGAGTGTTGTACATGTAATGCCATCAAAAAAGAATTGTTACTAATGATTTTTTTTATGAAATATAGATAGCAAGTACCTTGTACTACCCTCTGGCGAACTTCACATTCGCGACGTTGGACCTGAGGATGGGTACAAATCGTACCAATGCAGAACAAAACACAGGCTCACTGGGGAGACCAGATTGAGTGCTACCAAGGGCAGATTGGTCATTACCGGTAAGTGATATTTTTCAAAAATTACTATTTTCTAAGGTCTGGTTAGAATGTCTTTTATTATTGTCGAAAATGTTAATAATAAATTTATTATACAGGGTTGTTCACCACATACGTGGTGTTGTTTTGAGTTCGATGAAGGACTATTAGAGGTACAATTTAAAAATAATTTTACAAGACACAGAGTGTCCCAAATAAGTAAAAAATATCAAAGTTGTATTTTTTTAAACGGAACTCCCTATATATTATTACATTTTTAGTTTCTACGATTAAAATAAAGGTAAATTTGATTAAGGTTTATTATACTTAAACCTTACCGTTTTTGAAATATTTTCAATTTTGTGAAATTGCAGTAAAAATTTTAAAGCTTCATTTCTCCAAGGGTATCAATGTTTTTAATACTAAATATTTAATGAAGTTTATTTATTGATCAGTTATTGTGTTGCAATAATAAAAATAATACTATCTTATACAGAGTGTCTAAAAATTTATTTTAAATAATTATTAGCTTCAAACGGCAATAACTTCTTTAATTTAAACGGAATGCCCTGTATATTTTAGGAGAATCAGATGCACAATTAAATTGTCTATCAAATTGTATTATACCATTTTTTACCTATCCCTTCAAGTTTTCGTAGAAAATGCATTTTCTTATAATTTAGACCTCATTTATCAATATATCCATGGAATATTGACATTTTAGATTGTTTTTAAAGCAGCAAATGTACAAAATGTACAGACTAGTAATATTATCGTTTTTAGCAAAACGATAATATTACTAGCCCATTTGTATGCAAAAAGAAAACTATTTAAATCTTTATCAAAGAGTATACCATTAATTAAATATAACACCATTATTTCCGCCCATATACTAATTAATTACATACTTAATTGTGTTCGTTAATAAATTATTATAAATAAATGTGGATTTGAGTCAGAAATCAATATAATAATAAGTTATCAAATTAAAGTCTCTGTTGTTATAAATAAGTATTTATGAAAAATGAAATTTCATTTTTAAGGTGTTACTTTTTATCACACTGTCTAATGCCCATACAAAATTCAGTTTTTTGTATTTGGAGCAATTATTATTAATCAACGCAAACAGTCAGTTAATGTAGTTTGAATACGGCATCATATTAATTGGTCCTCTTTAACAAATATTTAAACAGTTTTTTTTTTATTTTTTAATGAAATAAACGAATTATATCGACAATATTAGTATCTGTACTCTTTAAAAATTTGGTACATCTTTAAAAATGACCTAAAATGTCAATAGTCCATGGGTATATTGATAAATAAGTTCTAAATTACAAGAAAATGCATTTTCTACGGAAACTTAAAGAGATAGGTAAAAAATGGTTTAATATAATTTGATAGACAATTAAATTGTGCATCTGATTCTAGTAAAATATACAGGGTGTTCCATTTAAATTAAACAAGTTATTGCCGTTTGAAGCTAATAATTATTTAAAATAAATTTTTAGACACTCTGTATAAGGTAGTATTATTTTTATTATTACTACACAATAACTGATCACTAAATAAACTTCAGTAAATATTTAGTATCAAAAATTTTGATACCCTTGGAGAAATGAAGCCTTAAAATTTTTACTGCAATTTCACAAAATTGAAAATATTTCAAAAACGGTAAGTATAATAAATCTTAATCAAATTTACCTTTATTTTAATCGTAGAAACTAAAAATGTAATAATATACAGGGTGTTCCATTTAAAAAATACAACTTTGATATTTTTTACTTATTTGGGACACTCTGTATCTTGTAAAATTATTTTTAAATTGTACCTCTAATAGTCCTTCATCGAACCCAAAACTTACAATTTGTAAAAATCTCATCGTTTAGCTACAATACTCCGTGTCGTATGTGGTGAACAACCCTGTATAGGGTGTCCCAATATTTCGTGGACATAGAACTACTATGAATGTTTGAAATCAAAATAAGTTTATTAGACACAATTTACCTCTATACAAAAGTGCTTCGTTTGTCCGTTAGGGGGCTTGAAAATTATAAAAAAATAATCAAATTTTTTCAGATATTTTTGGAACCGTTATTCCGATTTGAATGAGATTTTGGGTGCCTATATTTTGCTAAGTGCTTTAACATTTCACTTTTACACAAATCAAGAAAAAGTACGGGAAGGGTGAAAACTACCCCCACCCCGACATAAATTTTAATATAAATATTTTCCAACTCAACCAGCGACAGATTTTTTTTCGTAAAATGTTCCTTCTAGTATTTACTACATTTTTTGTCTCTTGTAAAAAAAAGCCACCGCGCATACTTTTTGAGAAAAAAAAAATTCCGAAGTTGACTTTCAAAAATTGTTTTTCGTGAAAGCGTTTCGAAATTGACAGTTTTTGATATTTATTTGAGATTCGAAATGACATTCTTTTAGGCACTAGTACCTAAAAGTGACACTTGTTTATAAAAGTAAAAAATGAAACGTTAGAAACAATGAAAATATTTATTTATTGTAAATCTTAAAGGGGTACAATTATTTAAATTATTAAAGTGAATACAAGAGGCATCCAACTTTTCGACTCTAAGAGAAATGCAAGTTGTGGGAGTCGGAATAAGTAAATTTCTTGTACTGGCAATGCTGGTAGCTTCTGCTTCTACGCGAACTGCTTTTAATTTCCTATTTGGCGTATCTTTCTGGCCCATGATTCTTTTTGCTATTTCGGGTTTCTGTTCAATTGAATTTTCAATGTAACCTTCAGCAACCGAGCTTGATCGCCAACCTTTATGTCGCTTTAAAACGGTTATGTCCTGAATCTGGCAGCATTGTTGCAGAGCTGCGCCGGAAACAATGACCAGTGAATTCAATGGCGTTGGAGAGTCCAAGAAATTCCTTTTGGCATACCTCCATTTGTATTGATTCCAACTAGCAGGGTACAGCATTGATTTTTTCGATTTTTTTTTTAGAATTTTAGAATGAGTGGGAGGGGGGTTAATCACTGCGACCTTACAGATCCATTGTGTCCCCCTTTCTTGAGTCATAACTCAAAAGCCAGTATCTGGGACGGTTTTAAGAGGGTAGTTCTCCATCTCCAATATCAGTCGTACCAAAATTCATGGCACGAATGGTTGTCGTCTCGGCGCACTCAGTGATGAGGTGTACTGGTGTTTCCCCATCTTCCCCACAGAATCTGCATTCGCCGTTTCTTCTTAGTTTCAATCTACTGAGGTGTTCATTGAGGAGACAGTGTCCTGTTAAAAACCCCGTGACAATCCGAAGATTGTTCTTACTTAAACCCAGGAAGATCTGTGATTTTTCTTGATCATAAGCCCTCAGAAACTTATTCGAGTGTCTTAGACCGTTGCAAGATTTCCATTCCAGGTTGCGGATGGAATCTTCTAAGTTCTTGAGTTCTGCCTTGAGTTGGTTACCACTTGGAAAGCAGAACGGTTCTGGTCTAGTTAGTGGAATGTTCGCTCCTTTCCTAGCTAGATTATTTGCTTTTTTATTGCCTTCTATCCCTTGGTGAGCAGGCACCCAGAGTAGGAGGACTTTGTTTTCTTTGCCTAATTTATTCAGCTTCTCTATGCATTCTTTGACCAATTTCGAATTGATTGATACTGAGTTGATCGCTTTTAACGCTGCTTGACTATCAGACCAGATGGCTATTTCTTGTTTCCGATAGTTCCTATCTAAGATAAGTTGTACGCATCTTCGATAGCGTAGATTATAGCCTGTAGGATACTAGGGTAAGTGCCCATTGGTTCGGAGTATTTAGCTCTCGGCCCAAACACTCCGATCCCTGTTCCCGTATTGGTTTTGGAAGCATCAGTATACCAAGTTATGGTCTTTTAACTGCTGGGCAAGCGTTTCGCTCTTCCAATCCTTTTTATTGATCAATACTACATTGAGATGTTTCTCAAAGTTGTACGTTCTTGGCATACGTCCACTGGGAGTTGCAGGAGTGGTATTTCTTTTTTGAGGGTGTTCCAAGCCCCTGATCTGACAATTCTCCCAATACTAATTCCGTTAGTGACCATTCTAATCATTGTCGCATTGGCATATCTACCAATGACAATGTGCAGTGGTGTTAGATCTAGAATGACCTCCATTGCTGCTGTTGGACAGGTTCTCATGGCTCCTGTGATGCAAACGCATGCTAGTCTCTGGACTTTGCATAGGTTTAGCCTTGCCGTCCGTTGCTCTAATTTTGTGTACCAGGCAACTGCTCCATAAGTAATCATGGGTCTTACTATCATGGTATACATCCAGCGCAAAATGTTAGGGGAGCAGCCTACGCATCTATTTCTGGCCAGTCTTCTGCATATCATGAGAGCCTTTGTGGCTTTGCTGGTAGTGTTCTTAATATGCCTGTTCCAAATGAGTTTACTATCCAGGGTTATACCCAGATATTTAACTTCCTGTGATGGCAGTATTTCCTTTCCATCTAGTTGGATTCTTTTCAAGTTTTTCAGACTTCACTTTCTGGTAAATGGCACTATCGCGGTTTTGTCTGAGTTGATACACAGCCCGACAGTCCTGCACCATCTCTCAGTGATACGGAGTCGTCTTTGGATAATATCACACAGGGTGCCTTCATGTTTCCCCCGAGCGATCATGACTATGTCATCTGCATACCCAATGCAGTGTATTCCCGCTAGAGTTAATTCGTCTAGTAGTTCATCCACTACCAAGCTCCACAGCAAAGGGGAGGTTACTCCACCTTGTGGAGTTCCTTGCGTTGTTTTAACAGCTACAGTTTTGGTACCCATCTGAGCCTCTCGTGTTGACAGCATCTCCCAAAACCAGCGAATAATAGTTCTGTTCACCCCTCTTGTTTCTAGAGATCGCCTGACCACCTTATGTGGTATATTGTCAAACGCCCCCTCAATATCCAAGAAGGCACAAATTGCTGTTTCTTTGCTATCCAGACTTGTCTATATTAGCTCCGTTAATTGGTACAGAGCAGTTTCTGTGGATCTGCCCGTTCTATATGCATGCTGACTATCATGCAGTGGTTT